ACATACAATTACATACAATTACATACAATTACATACAAGTACATACAATTACATACAATTACATACATACATACATACATACATACATTACATACATACATACATACATACAAGTACATACAATTACATACATACATACATACATACATACAATTGCATACAATCACATACAATTACATAAATACATAAATACATACATACATACATACATACATACATACATACATACAACTACATACATACAATTACATACATACAATTACGTACATACAATTACGTACATACAATTACATTCATACAATCACATACATACAATTACATACATACAATTACATATCAACAATTACAAACATACATACATACATACATACAGTTACATACATACAATTACATACATACATTTACATACATACAATTACATACATACAATTACATACATACAAGTACATACAGGTACATACAATTACATACAATTACATACAATTACATACAATCACATACAAAATTACATACAAATACATACAATTACATACATACAAATACACACAATTACATACATACAATTACATACATACATACATACATACACACACATCCATACATCCATACATACATACATACATCCATACATCCATACACCCATACATCCATACACCCATACATCCATACATACATACATTTCATATATACATACATAGATACATACAATTATATACAATTACATACAGTTAGATACAATTACATACAGTTAGATACAATTACATACAATTACATACAGCTACATACAATTACGTACAATTACATACAATTACATACAATTACGTACAGTTACATACATACATTAAAAACAATACATACCATACATAACATACATACATACATACATACAATTACATACATTACATTACATTACATTACAGTACATTACATTACATTGCATCACATCACATCACATCACATTACATTACATTACATTACATACAATACATACGTTACATACAATTACATACAATTACATACAAGTACATACAATTACATACAATTACATACATACATACATACATACATACATACATACATACATACAAGTACATACAATTACATACATACATACATACATACATACATACATACATTTGCATACAATCACATACAATTACATAAATACATACATACATACATACATACATACAACTACACACATACAATTACATACATACAATTACGTACATACAATTACGTACATACAATTACATTCATACAATCACATACGTACAATTACATACATACAATTACATATCAACAATTACAAACATACATACATACATACATACAGTTACATACATACAATTACATACATACATTTACATACATACAATTACATACATACAATTACATACATACAAGTACATACAAGTACATACAATTACATACAATTACATACAATTACATACAATTACATACAAATACATACATTTACATACATACAATTACATACATACAATTACATACATACAAGTACATACAAGTACATACAATTACATACAATTACATACAATTACATACAATTACATACAAATACATACATTTACATACATACAATTACATACATACAATTACATACATACAAGTACATACAAGTACATACAATTACATACAATTACATACAATTACATACAATTACATACAATTACATACAAGTACATACAACTACATACAATTACATACACATACATATAATTACATACAATTACAGACAATTACATACAAGTACATACAATTACACACAATTACATACATACATACATACATACATGCATACATGCATACATGCATACATGCAAACATACGTACATACAACTACATACAACTACATACAACTACATACATACATACATACATACATACATACATACATACATACATACATACATACATACATACATACAATTACATACAATTACATACAATTACATACAATTACATACATACAAGTACATACAATTACATACAATTACATACAATTACATACAATCACATACAATTACATACAAATACATACAAGTACATACATACAAATACATACAATTACATACATACAATTACATAAAATTACATACAATCAAAAACAATTACATACAATTACATACAAGTACATACACACACATACAATTACATACAACTACATACAATTACATACATACAATGACATATCAACAATTACAAACATACAAACATACATACATACATACAGTTACATACATACATACATACATGCATGCATGCATGCATACATACATACATACATACAATTACATACATACAATTACATACATACAAGTACATACAATTACATACATACATACATACATACATACATACATACAATTGCATACAATCACATACAATTACATAAATACATACATACATACATACATACATACAACTACACACATACAATTACATACATACAATTGCAAACATACAATTACATACATACATACATACATACAATTGCATACATACATACATACATACATACATACATACATACATACATACATACATACATACATACATACATACATACAATTACAAACATACATACATACATACATACAATTGCATACATACATACATACATACATACAATTACATACATACAATTACATACATACAATTACATACATACAAGTACATACAAGTACATACAAGTACATACAATTACAAAAAATTACATACAATTACATTCAATCACATACAATTACATACAAATACATACAATTACATACATACAAATACATACAATTACATACAATTACATACAAGTACATACAATCATATACAATTACATACAATTACATACAAGTACATACAATTACACACAATTACATACATACATACTTACATACATACATACATAATGCATGCATGCATACAGGCATACATGCATACATGCATACATGCAAACATACGTACATACAATTACATACTTACATACATACATACATTACATACAATTACATACAAGTACATACAAGTACATACATACATACATACATACATACATTACATTACATTACATTACATTACATTACATTACATACAATACATACGTTACATACAATTACATACAATTACATACAAGTACATACAATTACATACAATTACATACATACATACATACATACATACATACATACTTACATACATACGTACATATGTACATACGTACATACGTACATACGTACATACGTACATACGTACATACGTACATACGTACATACGTACATACGTACATACGTACATACGTACATACGTACATACGTACATACGTTCATACGTTCATACGTACATACGTACATACGTACATACGTACATACGTACATACGTACATACGTACATACGTACATACGTACATACGTACATACGCACATACGTACATACGCACATACGCACATACGCACATACGCACATACGCACATACGCACATACGCACATACGCACATACGCACATACGCACATACGCACATACGCACATTGGTACATACGTACATACGTACATACGTACATACGTACATACGTACATACGTACATACGTACATACGTACATACGTACATACGTACATACGTACATATACATACATTACATTGAATTACATTACAATTACATTACATCACATCACATCACATCACATCACATCACATCACATCACTTTACATACATTTTTACATACACACATACACACATACATACATACATACATACATACATACATACATACATTACAATTATACAATTACATACATACCATACATTACATTACATTACATTAGATTAGATTACATTACATTACATTACATACAGTACATACATACATTACAATACATACATTACAATACATACATACATACATACATACATACATACATACATTACATAACATAACATAACATAACATTACATTACATTACATTACATAACATAACATACATACATTACATACATTACATACATACATACATACATACATACATGCATCCATGCATACATACATACATACATTACTTTCTTTACTTACATTCCTTACATGCATACATACATAAAATACATAGATACATACATACCATACCATGCCATACCATGCCATACCATGCCATGCCATGCCATGCCATACCATGCCATACCATACATACAGACAGACAGACAAACATACATACATACATTACGTTACGTTACACTACATTACACTACAGTACATTACATTACATTACATACATATTCTTTACATAGATGGTCAGCATGTAAATGCATGCTGCGTTTTTTCATCCATCAAACAATCTCGCCCACCCCTGAAGTTGTCTTTTTGCAACTTATTCTTCTTTGTCCCATCGTTTCTATTCTACCTCTGAATCTTTCTATATACATCTCTCTCTCTCTATCTATCTGTCTATCCGCCCATACGTCTATATATTCGATCTTCTCTATCATAGCTACTAATTTAGCTTCTGGCGGCGTATCCATCCTAGTGATCCACTGCAATCCAGCATTTGATGGATCATATGAACAGTAACAGAGATGTTCAGATACCCAAGCAACATGAGCCTGTTCGTCCACAAGTTCCGCAGCGAGATTGCCAAAGTAAACTTCGCGCATAACATTGGACACTTGCACCTGTTGCAGTCTGTGGTTCTGAACTCACATCGTCCCCCCAGAGACAGGATTGTGTGTGTGTCCACTGCCATGTCATGTGCGCTCCTGATATTGAATGGGTTTCGTTTGCAATCAAAGCGAATCAGTCAATGGACAGGTTGCCTCCCGGGCTAATATGGGCTGATAGAATCACTGGTGATATGTTCTTACCGCAGATAGCTGTAGCAAGTAATGGTCATGAAGCTGCGTGCAGATATATATATATACATACTGCTGTGCAGCTGTCGCAAACCTGCCACTCGGATCTAATTACCCGGCATGTAATTACTTGATGCTAGGGCTACTGCTACTCGAGAGTGTCGCCAAACATCGGGGTGAACCACTGCTGACCCAGCTCCTGACCCGGCTTTCCCCAAGTCTTGCCCCAAGCCTTGCCAACTTCAGGCTCTTCGATAGGTGAGATGAGACCTCTCTCCCGCAATGGTTGCACATCAAGCTGTGGATTTTCTCCGTTGGGTGCCGGTATATAATGCTGCGGACGGCCAACACGGACATGCCTCCCCAGCATCCTAAGCGGTCGACCCTACAAGCAACTTTGGTTGAACCCAAAAGTATTTGAATTTTAAATCATCGGCACGAAAGACAAGTTGACAGCTTTCAGCAATCACGTTCACTGCAGCTGATAGCAGTCAGCCAAACAAACTTGAACAATCTCTTGAACACCGGTACTAGGTAGATTTATTGAAACTTTCTTGCATACAAAGTACTCAAAGCCATTCATTGCAATGGCAGTGGTGGTGAGTACATCATCCATGAACTCCACGAATGCAAACATACCTTCGCCTTTGGGTGGAAAGAAGATGGACTTCACCGGATCGACAACGTCTGGATATCGCTCCACAAAGGCGGGCAAGGCATGGAAGAGACGAGTGAAGGCTTCCCGCAACATGGCCTCGTCCGCCTGAACACCCAACATCAAGATACATCATGCACACACTCTCGCTGTGTGTCTCTCTCTCTCTCTCAGCACACCCAGAGACTCAGCCTATCCAGACTCAATCTCTCTCAACAAAGGCAGCAAGAAACACTTGTCTTTTTTCTGGTAGACCTTTCATTGCAGAACCCAAATCCCTGCGAGCACTAACGCGCTGCTGTTTGTATTGATGAAGATGGTGCTGCTAATGTTGCCATTGTCGCTGTTGTTGTGGCTCAGGCTTTGTTACTGTCCTTGTCGATGCTGTCAATGCTGATTCCTTCAACCACACATCCACGAAGTAGGGGAATGGATGAGACGCACTTGGATGGAGAGACTTGAACGCGGCCTTGTTCTGTGGAAGATTTCCAACGTAGCATTCACGCCGTTTCTTGCCACCAGCAACAGAGTCCATGAGACCACGCTGGCTCAGCAGCTTTTGATCAGGATCACTTGGATCCGGCCTCACACAGGCAGAAAAAGCCGAAATTAACACAAAACCATCAGTCACACTATATCTGTTGTTGCCTTCTGTCGCAGATATTGCCTATTTCAGTCTTTGCAGCATGTCTTACCTATTTCTCCCGCCTTTATCTCCTACAGGATTGCAATGTCACTGTCGTTCAATCTTGGCCCCGGTGCCCTGGTGCCATTGTCCAATTCCTGACACCGCCTGACACCGCCTGACACCGCCTGACACCGCCTGACACCGCCTGACACCCTTAGAGCTTGGAATGGAGGATGCCAAGTGCTGGCCAAACGCAGTCGCGTCATGCAAGTTTCCTGCCTCACATCCCACTTTGATCGCCGACGGTTAGATGTCTTCGAGACTGGGGTCGTGGATCTTGATACCCTGATCTTTCGTCGTGGTGTTCGTGTCCTGACAAAGGCCACAAGACACGAAAAAAAAAGAAGTGCAAACTCAGGTCAAGCAAATCAACCACTCTGAAGACTTTGATCCTGTGTCATTTTTTGTTAGAAAGGAAAACAAGTTTGAGTTTGGCCAAATCACTTTCTTGCCTCTCCGGAAAAGAGTGCAAGGACCAACACGTACCGTGCACGTCAACACATGGTGTACACATGCTTTACATACACTATCGCATTCTCCGTCTCTCACACTGTCTCACTCTTGTCGAAGACTCCGAGAAAAGATTGTATGGTGGACCAGAGTCCAGAGACTGCAGAGGAGGGTAAGCTGGACTGCATCAATCAACAGGCGGAATGGTATTGACAGTTGGATCTTGAGAGGTTTCTCATTTCAAGAAATTGTTCAACATCGAACCCCCATGCCTTCTTCCACTGGAACTGCGGCTGCGACGTCGTGACCCAGGCGGTGATGGCAAGCCAAGCTCTGCGCGAGTTCCAGCCCATTCAGATCTCCTAGAGGCAGCGCCGCAAGGGCAGAAATACTACGAAGGGGAATAGAAACACATCGAAATACAAGAAAATTCAACTGTTCAACTGCCGACTATTCTTCACGTTTGCATGCGATATACTATTTGTGTATATATATATATATAGTATATATATATATATATACGTATGATATACACATGCATATGTTCATATATGTATGTCTGTCTGGATGCATAAGTGCACCCATGATCATGCATGGCTATTTGTTTATATGTCTATGTTATCTATGTGTATGTGCATATATATATATATATGTATGTCTGCACGTATGTAGACACGTAGACACGTATATTTGCACCTGTACATATATATATATATATATATATACGTATATGTATATATTGATGTACAAGTATAATGTTGTATGTATGTATATGTGGAATGTTTGTATGTATATATGCACTTATGTATGTATATATATATATATACACATGCGGTATGGGATAATATAAAATTTTTGTGTGGTTGATGTATGCTGCTACAACAGACACGCAGTTTTCCTTAAACCATGACACTCTCGCCGCAGTGACATGTATGTCTTCTGGAAAAATGCGTTTCTGAACTGAGCTAAGCTTATAAATTTTTACATCCGGGAAGGCTGAAACGATGCTAAGCCAGCTATGCTGGACATGGGGTTGGTTGGCAGGTGGGGGAACTTTCGCCAATAACCCTCACCGGGAGTTATACACACCCGGATGCTACCAGTACCTTAAAGTTGGTGTACGTTGGGCTAACAACATTCATTTTGAAGTTGCAAGTTGTCGACTTAACTCACATCACGCCGCTGAAGGCAAATCTTTTGTGGCAGGCGCTGTGAAAAACACTAGGCACATCACGCCGCTGAAGCCACATCACGAGCATTGTTTTTTGCAATGATTCATTGGGGACGCCAATGAATTCCGCAAATCACAGAAAGTGATTGAAATCAAGGAAACATCGCGCGCGCGCGCAGTCAACATGCACTTTTTCCTTGGAAATCACCTGCAAAAATCAACAAAACATTGCGCGCACGCAGTCATAATACACTTTTGCCTTAGCGTTGCGACGCGGTGCCGGTCGGAGCCAGCAGCAGCAGCAGCAGAAGCAGCAGAAGCAGCAGCAGAAGCAGCAGAAGCAGCAGGAGCAGCAGAAGCAGCACAGCACCAGCACAAGCAGCACAAGCAGCACAAGCTGCACAAGCTGCACAAGCTGCACCAGCAGCAGCACAAGCGCTCTGACAGCAGCACCTTGCAGTAGCACCCTGCAGCAACCAAGCTCCAAAGCGCAAACAGCACTCTGACAGCAGCGCCTTGCAGCGGCACCCTGCAATGGCACCAGCAACCCAGCTACAAAACGCAAACATGCAACTCTGCCTATACTTGAAGTAATAACCACAGTAGCTTCGCTATCTGGTGCAAAAAAAACCACACGAGGAAAAAAACCGACTATGGAACTAGGTCAATCATGGAAAAACCGAGCTGGTAAACCGGCAATCATGTATGATTTAGTACAAATTATCAAATCACAAGATTTGAGTAAAACTGTGTTTTGTATGGCGGGCGCCAATCAAGATGCGACTTCAACAAGAAGATGCGACTTAAGTCAAGACCCTAGCGCACACGCGACGGAGCCTTGTTTGGAGATGGTGTGAGGTTGGGCTCGGCAGTGTGCGGGCAATGGCAATCTCTAACTTTTTCCATTCCATCATGAAGTCCAAAGCACAACAAAGGGACTCAAGCCTGCTTGCTTGCCCATGTGAGCCTGCTGTTTTGTCAATGGGCCTGTAGAACCTGGAAGATAGACAATGTTTATGGAAGGTGTTTTCACTTGGCCTGCCGAGGACATTTGCTGCTTTTCAAACTTGCAACTATATATAATATATAGATGTGATAAGATCCTAAACACCTACAAAACCATACCGCCATCTATGAGCACCGGAACATGGTCCAGACTGGTCTCCCCTCATACTCAGATCGCCTGGCTACCGCCCATTCCGTTCTCCCTAAGGCCCTAAGCGCTTAGAAGCGGACTCCAAAGTTCTGCCGAAGATGACTTTTAATGTGTCACATCTCTTCCCCGGCTTGCCCAAACTCTTCTGCCCTTCTTTGCAGTGTACAAATGCTCTACATGTCACCAAAAGCTGGCACTTCCTTCACATCCTTTCAAACCTTACACTGGGACGAATTGTCGCTAACGTATACCAACGCTGAACTTACCACGCGGCATATTCGGGTCCCTTCGTAACGACAGCCGTTGGCACCAGAAGTATTAGTTTTGCCATGTGGGATACATATCCATATATCTGTATTTAAATACTATATTATATGACACAATGTGCAATATATTTGTATATAATATACACATTCTAGAGGAAAAATAGACCGCCGCACCGAGCGAAAACTTGATCAAGCTGGCAATTTCCTCTGGTTAAGTGCACGCAAAAAAAAACTCGGCACCTTCGGCGCAGGCAGATTTCACAATATTCCGGTCTATTCCCAGTTTGACTCTGTTTTTGAATCAGACATGAAACACAACAAGTTCAACTCATGAAAAAGTTTATCAAAAACCCACCTCGGCACCCTCTCCCTGTCGATCTTTGCCTGGTTCCATTGTCAAGTGTGGATGTTCACTCGATGCAATGAGGTGAATACCATGCCCTGGTGCCATGTCATGCCGGGCCTCCCTCTGACGCTTTGGGGAAGAGCCCAAAGACGTTGAGCGCCCGCGTCTTGGCGAGGACGATCTGAATCTGGACACGGAGCGCTGAGAGCGATGAGACCGCTGAGAGCGCAAAACTCGTGACAACTTGGGCGACTCCGGCGACTCAAGCGACTCAAACGTCGGGTCCTGGCTCTGGAGATCTACTGCAACAATGGAATCATACAATGCATGCATGCATGCATGTAGGCACGTATGTATGCATGCATGTAGGCACGTATGTATGCATGCATGCATGCATGTATGTATGTATGCATGTAGGCACGTATGTATGCATGCATGCATGCATGTATGTATGTATGCATGTAGGCACGTATGTATGCATGCATGCATGTATGTATGTATGCATGTAGGCACGTATGTATGCATGCATGCATGCATGTATGTATGTATGCATGTAGGCACTATTATGTCATGCACTGTAGCACGTATGTATGCATGGCATGTAGGCCCGTATGTATTCATGCATGTAGAGACACTATGTATGCATGCATTAGGCACGTATGTCATGCATCTGTAGCAACGCTGTATGCATCATGGAGGCCGTATGTATGTATGCATGTAGGCACGTATGTATGCATGCATGTAGGCACGTATGTATGCATGCATGCATGTATGTATGTATGCATGTAGGCACGTATGTATGCATGCATGTAGGCACGTATGTATGCATGCATGCATGTATGTATGTATGCATGTAGGCACGTATGTATGCATGCATGCATGCATGTATGTATGTATGTATGCATGTAGGCACGTATGTATGCATGCATGTAGGCACGTATGTATGCATGCATGCATGCATGTATGTATGTATGCATGTAGGCACGTATGTATGCATGCATGCATGCATGTATGTATGTATGCATGTAGGCACGTATGTATGCATGCATGCACGTATGTATGCATGCATGCATGCATGTATGTATGTATGTATGCATGTAGGCACGTATGTATGCATGCATGCATGCATGTATGTATGCATGTAGGCACGTATGTATGCATGCATGCATGCATGTATGTATGCATGTAGGTACGTATGTATGCATGCATGCATGCATGTATGTATGCATGTAGGCACGTATGTATGCATGCATGCATGCATGTATGCATGCAGGTACGTATGTATGCATGCATGCATGCATGTATGTA